AAGAGAAAGAAGAGGACCAGAGGCTAGAATATGTGTAATATCTATTTAGTTCCAGCTATAAATACAAAATTTCTCAAACATTCAAATTTTTATTTATTTATTTAAATACGGTTTATGGTTCATACAAAACAAACAAATCCCTTTGTGAATTTCCATGACCCATTTTACCTCTATGTATTGGAATACTACTATCCTCATTTAATTAATGTGACTTATTAAACCATCTTCTTTTACCTCTTTGATATATTATTGAACTTCTATTTTCAGAGTTTTTCAATACACCTACAGATTCAGAACTTGCATATTTTAGATTCATTGGATCAAAATGATCTCAACACAGCAGTCCAAATAAATATATAAATCTGTCTGTGTTATGCCAGAAAACCGCTTTTTCCTTGTATGCTTTAAACTTTAATGATGGTTTGAGACATAGCTGTTGCAAACCAAGAGGTAGCCTTGCAATTCTCCTCTTATTCATTTATTTACTTCATAGATTCTTACGAGATCAATTTTATTATCCAAGACTATCAATATTTAAACATGAAAGTTTGTTTGTAAAACATCTCTTAAGTAAAAATATCAAATCTGTATTGTATACACCACATACTCAACACCACTACCAGGGCATATGGAACAAGAGGTTTTTTCATACTGTAAAGAACCTTTTAAAGAGATTTAAGTTAGTGCACAGATGAAATACTGCACAACATTTTATCAAAACTAAGGAGAAATTTTCTTCTGTTATGGATCTCTGCTAGTACAGATTCCATTTGTGCTTTTTTATGTACTTGAAACCTAATGGAGTTGTGTGTATTTATTCCCTAGAAACAAATCTGATTTATGGTTTGGGGTTTTTTGTTTGTAATGTGACTACTAATTTTACAGGACTTGTTGCTCCAGAAAACCTGTACCCAGTGTTTTTAGTGAAAAGGATTATTTTTGGAACCAGAGGGCAATTAGAGTGCCACAATTTTTATATGCAAATGTTTCTGAAAATTGCATCTTTCCTTCTGTTTCTTTGTCAAGCAAACAAAAGTTGCCTACTGTGTAATGTTAACTTTCTGGTCAGGTTTGCCAGACTTCTAATTACTACCTATTTGCAATCATTTAGGGCCCAATCCAAAGACCCACTGAGGTTTGAGTTCATTAGGCTTTGGATCAGGTCTTTAAACATACGCAGTGTAGCTCACATGGTCTTGAAATAAACATTTAAGTGCAATGAAAACATTCCATGTTTACCAGAGCCCCAGCTTATTAACAAATGTCTAAGGAAGCCAATCATTTTTACTTAGCTGATTTTAGGAAAGTATCAGTTGTATAAAATGGTCTTAAGTACAGTAATCATATCTAATATTACATTATGCTGCTTAAAAGGGAAGCAAAGGTAGATGTTTCTGTGTGGAAATGCTGTATGCTAGCTTTGTTTTGTTTTTTAGTGCTGAAATCAATAAATAACTTTATTTAGGAGACTGGGACCCAAGGAGAAATTGTATAAATTAAGGGAAAGACTACAAATACGATAGAAAAAAAATTACTTGGAACAACATTATCGTGTAGGGGAAAACCTATGAGAATCTAAAAGCAAATTCTTGCCTAAGGACATCAACTAGATGAAGATCAGTCTTCAGTGAAAAGGAGTGCTGTCAGCTTGGGAAGAAATGCCATGGATTGACACTATTAGAGTGCTTCAGAGAGCCATTAGTTATTCTGAGGAAAAAACAAAACAATCACCACAATGCCAGTTCTAAGGCCTCATGAAGGACTTAACATGGGACTGGAAGGGAACTCCTGGGTCAGAGTCCAGACAACCCAGTCATATAAACCCATGCGTATCAAGCTCCATCTTAAAACCAGTTAAGGTTTATTGCTCCCACTATGTGCATTAGCGGTCCTTATAAAATGGGAGAGGCTTCTTAATTATATATTTATGAGTTAAGTGCCTCTGTCTAGAAACACACACCTCACAATGTGCAGTCTTGCTGTGTTACTACTGCCTTCTGCTGGATGGGATCAGCCCTGCTCCAATACTTACAATCTCACTCTCTCCTGGCTGATTTACAGAGAAGAATACAAGTTAAATGAAGACCTGTGTTAATGAAACCTTCCCCCTTCTGCTTTGGAGGGTCTATCACTGACATCCCAACCACTGCAATGACCAGGGCCAGCTCTGGCTTTTTTGCCGTCCCAGGCAAAAAAAAGCCTCCGGCCG